CGGGCTCTGGGGTGGGCGTGCTGGCCCGGGCGGGGGGCGCGGGGTTTATGGCTGCCCGCCGCCTCCTCCTCAGCACCATGAAGCAGATCTGCCTCTGTGCCGCCGCCTCCTTCGCGGTACGTCCCCGGTCCCCCCCTCTCGGGACCCCTCCGGTCGCGTCCTGCGGGCTGAGCCGTGTCCCCCCCACCCTGCCCCTCCTGCACCCCCTGCACCCCATCCCCGGCCGCACCCCGGGGCTCCCCCGCGCCCACCCCAACCTGCTTTGTCCTTGCTCCAGGGGGACGTGGGGGGCGCGGGCACCACCCTCCCAGTTTGCCCAGTAACCCCGGCAGACTGGTGTACTCCCTGCCCCCGGCCCCGCCGGGCTGCAGGGGCTCCGATGGGCTCCCGGCGGGCACGGTGGCCCCGGGGCTGGCTCGGGGCACGGTGCCAGCAGCTCCCGAAAAGGTGACATCCATTTCCTGCCGCCGCGGCCGCAGCCGGCTCGGCTTTGTCGTCACCGGCTGCGGGGTGAACCCAGGACTTGCAGTTCTTGTCCTGGTGCTGTCCCGCTGCGGGTCAGTCCCTCGGGACAGGGATGAACGGGAGCACTGGGAAGGCAAGCTCCCTGCCAGCCCTGCTCCTGTGTGGATGGGGACGGTGTCGTGCCCCGTTATCCCAGAGAGGCTGGAGCATCCCAGGGGAGCTGTCCCGGCTTGGTCCTTACCCCTTCAGGGCTTGGGTTGGGATCAGTGGGGAGAACCGGGCAGGGGTGGGGCTCCCTTGGGTGCTGGCTGTGTTTATTGGGGTGGCAGGGACAGCCGGGCTCGTCCCCAAATCCCAGCCGGTGCCAGCCTGGCACGTCTGGGTCTGTAAATGCCCTGGTCTGTGAGCTGCAAACTGGGAGGGGCTGGAGGGGACCCTCATCCCAGTGCCAGCTGAACCCTGGGGGTGGGACAGCACAGCCCCCAGCACAGGGGCTGGCACAGAGACCAAGGGACAGGGCTGGGTGCAGGACAGGGGGCACGGGGACAGGGACAGCCCCCTGGCCCAGCCCTGGGGACAGCACAGTGTCACAGCCTGCTCTTGGCTCCCTTGCAGAGCCAGGACTGGACCAAGAACGACGAGAAGCTCCTGCAGGCCGTGGACTACAACGATGCCGGGCGGGTGACGTCGCTCCTGGTCCGCAAGGGCCTGGTGCCCACCAAGCTGGACTCGGAGGGCAAATCCGCGTGAGTGCCACCCCACACCCCGGGGACAGGGCTGGGGACGAGGGACACGAGGGAAATGGTGCCACAGCGCCCTGGTCTCGCTGCAGGTTCCACCTGGCTGCCACCCGGGGCAACGTGGACTGCCTGGAAGCCATGCTGGCCCACGGCGTGGATGCCATGACCAAGGACAGCTCGGGTGAGGGCAGGGCCACCCTGGCTACTGCCACGGGGCCACCTGGTTGTCCCCAGGGGACAGAGGTGATGGCCATGCCGGGAGCTCAAGCACCGAGCGATGAGGCTCCTGGGGATGTCCCTGTGTGCCCATCCCGTGTGCCCGTCCCTCTGTGTGTCCCCCGGGCTGTCCCCTCTGCCACAGACCCACTGTCCGTGCTCTGACCCGTCTGTCTGTCCCTCCCCAGGTTCCACTGCCCTGCACTTGGCCTCCAAGCACGGGCACCCTCAGTGTGTCAGCAAACTGCTGCAGGTACGGGGAGGGTGGAGAGGGAGGGAGGGGAGGAGGAGGAGGAGGAGGAAGAGGAGGAGAAGGAGGAGGAGGAGGGTGCTGTGCCAGCGGGGTGTCCTCACTGTCCTTGAACCCCCTTTCCTCACCAGTGCCCTGACCTGTCATGGAGATTCCTGGCTCTGTGTGGTGCTGCCTGGCACCTGCTCAGCCTTCCATGATGCCACAGAGCCACAGCTGTCTGTCTGTCTGTCTGTCCCCTGTCCTTCATCACATCATGGAGCCACAGCTGTCTGTCTGTCTGTCCCCTGTCCTTCATCACATCATGGAGCCACAGCTGTCTGTCTGTCTGTCTGTCCCCTGTCCTTCATCACATCATGGAGCCACAGCTGTCTGTCTGTCCCCTGCCCTTTACTGTGCCACAGAACCATGTCCCCTCCAGCTGTCTGTCTGTCTGTCTGTCTGTCCTCTAACCCAGGCTCTGTCCCTCAGGCCTCCTGCCCTGTGGATGTGGCCGATGGCAGCGGCCGGACCGCGCTGCACCTGGCAGGTGAGTGGGGACGGTGCCACCCTGTCCTGCTCTGTCCCCGGGCAGGGAGGGCTCAGCCTCTGTCCCTTCCACAGCCGTCAGCGGCTGCATCTCCTGCTCCGAGATCCTCTGTGACTTCAAGGCTCCCTTGAACATCAAGGACAAGGTGAGGTCCTGCTGCTCCTCGTGCCAGGCTGGGGCTGTGGAAATTGGGGGCAGGGGGGAAAAATCAGGAATGTGGTACCCCAGGTTGGGCATCTGAGCCTTGTCTGCTCCTCCTCACCCTCCCCCCTTGCCCTGCCCAGGACGGCTCCACCCCGCTGATCCTGGCTGCCAAGATGTGCCACTCGGAGCTGTGCCGGTACCTGCTGCACCGCGGGGCGGCCGTCAACAGCCGGGACCTGCAGGGCAGGTGGGGCTGCACCGCTGGGCACTGGGAGGCAGGGCACGTGGAGACAAAGGGAATGGTCCCCCCCATGACCTCTGCTGTCCCCCTGTGCTCAGGACAGCCCTGATGCTGGCCTGTGAGAGCGGCAGCGTGGAGACGGTGGAGGTGCTGGTCAACGCCGGCGCCCGCGTGGCCGTGGTCGATGCCACGGGCCACGACGCCGCTCACTACAGCCTGGCCACGGGCAATGCCCTCATCCAGCACTTCCTGCAGGAGGCTGCTCAGCGCCGCTCCTGGGCCAGTGGTGAGGCAGCTGTGGCACCCTGGGGCTCCCTGGGCCCAGGGGAGGGAGCGTGGGGGGGTTGTCACCTCGCAGGGGGATGGACCCCACCGGGGGATTGGCACCGTCAGGGCACTTTGGGATGGGGATAGAGGAGGCTGGGTGAGGCTGGGGGGCACATGTCCCCTTCTGCCAGGCACCAGGGCTGCCTTTGGCTGCGCTGTCACCAGCTGAGGTGGTGCTGAGCCTCGGTTGTCTGGCTGGGTGCTCGCACACGCGTGTTCACGTGTGTTTGCACGCGAGGGGGTCTGAGTGCACGAGTGTTTTCACATGTGTTTGTGTGTGCACGTGTGTCCCTGTGTCTGCACTGCATCCCTGTCCTTACACACCCATCCACACCCCTGTATGTGTCTGTCTGTGTCCCCCTGAACGCTGTGCACTCACGTGTGGGTGTCCCCTGAGTGTCCCCACACCCACACGGGCTCTGGTCCCCTAAAAACTTCCCCCCTTTCTCTTCCCTCCCGCTCTGCCCCTCAGAAGAGGAGTCAACTGAGCAGACATCCCAGGTGAGGGTCTGCCAGGGGGTCCCCCAGGGCTCTCTGAGGTGGCACTGGATCACTGTGGGTGCGATGTCCCCTCTGCCTCGGTGTCTCCACAGACCTCTTCACCCAGCCAGTCGTCCGTCAGGGAGAAGAGCAGCACCCCGAGAAAGAGGAAGGCCCCTCTGCCTCCTCTGGGCACCGTCAGCCAGGTGAGCTTTAGCTCCAGGTCCTCACCTGGCTCTCTTGCAGGGCACACCCCTGGATGGGGGGCTGTGCTGGCCTTGAGGGGTCCACGCCCTGCCAGAGCCTTTCCTTCCCTCTCTGGGGTCAGAAAGCACCCTCAGGCACACGGTGGGATTTTTGGGGCGTCCCGTGCCAGGAGTTTTGGACCCCACGATCCTTGTGTGGGTGCTTCCCAGCTGAGGGGATCCCACGATCCTCTGATTTCCCGCAGGAGGACCGGGATGCCTACGAGGAGATCGTGCGGCTGCGGCAGGAACGGGCCCAGTTCCTGCAGAAGATCCGGGGCTTGGAGCAGCAGGAGAAGCAGCGACGGGAGGTACCAGCTGCAGGGTCCTGGGGAGATGCCACCACATCCCTGGGGAGCAGAGGGGACAGCGGGGATGGGCACAGCAGGGATGGGCACAGCATTCATCCCTCCCTGTTTTCTCTCTGGCTCCTGCTAGAGGGCAGAGCTGGACGAGGGCTCCCTGCGCTCCATGGAGAAGCAGGTAAAGGCCAGTGAGGAGCTCAGGGGTGCCCCTGGTGCTGGGAATGCCACGGGGAGTCCGGTGGGAGCCAAGAGGATCTTTATTCCTGCGTCCTGCCCCACAGATCCAGGAGCTGGAGGAGAAGCTAGCGGCCCGGGATGGGGAGAAGGAGAGGCTGGGCAAGGAGGTGGAGGCTCTGCGGAGCCGCCTGTCCTCGCTGGAGGTGGGTGTGGGCAGCAGCTGGCAGTGCCAGG